TTGAACTTAATAGTTTGGTTTTAATCATACAGTTCTGATCCTACGGTAACTAATGTGTTCTTTGGCTTGTAGGCCCTGTCCTGTTATTCCTCATGGGATCTCAGGGATCAGGGTCTTCCTAGGGAACCACTGACCCTTTTCCTGTCCTTTTAATATTTGGTCTATTTGCGGGTATGGTATCTAGTCTGAAGAACAAGTATACTGTTCCAGACTTAGAGTAGGGAAACTTGGCATATTTTCTTTCATTGACAAACTTTATATTGAAGACAAAACCAATAGGAACATGTGCTGTTAGATCTCTTCTTGCAGCCATAGGAACACCCTTAATGTCTCTTAAATGATTTGTAGGTTTAATGTGGAAATCACCATAAAATTTGTACTTTATGCTTTGCCAATTGAAGGATCTACTTTTTAGGAGTTTAAGCACTTGGGGATTTGAGGTGATAGGAATGTTGAAACTTCTATTTTCTGTGGAATGCATTCTGATTCTAAAATTGTAGTTTGTTAAAATTTAATAGGAATTAGCTGTGGTATCTTATAGTTAAGATGTATTTGAGATATTTTGATTTCTATAATTGGTTAATATATGCTGCTGGATATGTGTGAGAAGCCAGAACAGCATTCCAGGGCCTTCAGATCAGGTACACATAATTCAAATTCCTTAACTATAAAGTTGTAGTAGCAGAATATCCAGGAACTTATGACGTGTGCAAAATATGAGACTATTTTATTATAGTTAATAGCTATAACTGCAAAGCATGGCTTAGCACAGAACTTGAAAGTTGTAGATTTCACTCCTAGATTTCAGTGGTAACTAACAGGAATGTTTCAGAGTGGTTCCAGAGAAATAAATGTTTATTTTAATGAATAAAAGTATTGCAGCAATAATTATGTTCTTTTCACATTGACTTTGAAATGGGAATAGAACAGGGATTGGCAAACTACAGCCCACAAGCCAAATCCGGCCCACCACCTGGTTTCAGAAATACAGTTCTATTGGAACATAGCAGACCCATTAGTTTACATATTTTCTATGGCTACTTTCATGCTGTAGCAGCAAAGCTGGGTCGTTGTGACAGAAACAGGACTATATGGCCTGCAACGCTAAAGTGTTTACTGTTTGGCTATTTAAAGAAAAACTATCAATCCCTAGATTAGACCTGCCCTTTTAGCTAGGTGACTGAATGGCCCATAATCCAAAATTCCTAATTGCCAGAGTTTATGTTTTACTCCAAGTTGACATCTGCTTTGTACTATGCCAAGTAAATTCTA